TCTCTCTCTCTCTTTCTCTCTCTCTCTCTCTCTCTCTCTCAACAAAGAGCAGTTTGACTCTGCGAGACATTATTATACTCGGTCGTAACATCAAGTAATAAAGAAATTTCAAGACAAGACTAAATGTCGCCATATAACGTCCCCTTGGAAAAGAATTTTACCCCTATAACGTGGTGCCATTATTTGTCTGATAATTTTACAATGATGTCAACAAGTGAAAACGTGCTGAACAAATTGTGGCACTGTAACCATCGTTGGGATGTCAGATGACTGGACAGCAAATTAATACGACCTCAGTCAGTGAACATCTGGCGGACACTAATATGCAGTGCTGATAAATTTCTCCCTGAATCCTTCTTTTAACGTGGGTGTTTGGTGGGTGCTCTGGTGTGATTTGCTTCTTCTTTCCTATCAAACATCTGTCGTCCTTATCTCCAGTCCTATTTTGTGTTTGAATGTTACTCTTATGTAACGCCTCTAATCTTTGGCACTTTCATGACCTATTGTGTTGCAAGTGCTGTAAAACTCTAACTAAAACTAAACTTTTCTTTTTTTACCCCCCCCCCTTCTTCCTCCTTTCCCGTCTATTCCCGTCCGTTTTCCTGTCTCTCCCGCCTGCTCATACTCTTACTCATCAGCTTTTTTGCTCTTGTCAATATGCACCGTCATAATATGTGAATAGAGACGGAAAGACACTGAGTGATACTTTTATACATATATATTCTGGGAGAGGGGGGTGGTGGTGGTGTGTTTGATTGCTAAAAAGGCCCAGTATGTTTGTACTGACGCAACAGTGACCAACTACAATTTGTCGCCTGTGCCGAATTGGCCCGGCTGCAGAGACCAGGGGACAACGCCGAACGAGCAGTGATCCTTGACCAATCGAACATTTATCGTTCTCACTTATACTCACTGAGCTCTGGCTCAGAGTCAGAGCTCGCTTGTGTAAGGGAAAAGGACGGACTCTCAATTAATGCAACAACGGATTAGGATTATATCGTCATGCTCATAATTGAAGGGCCAAACTCATTTTGGGTGATTGTACAGGAGACAGAAAAAACATCTTAATATCTCTTCTAGCCACAATTTTTCTGAAATATGTTCACCTTCAACATTGAAAAGCATCATTTCAGTGTGTGTATATATATATAAATTTATCAATTCCTTTCGTGATCATTGTCCTTATATATTTTAAAAATTAAAATGAGTTAGGCAGTTTGCATCCAAGCACATTAGACACTATGCTGTCGATGAGTTAGGCCTTTTATTTTCATACATCTGCGCTGGAAATGGTGTTTTTTTGTGAGTTAGGCATTTTGTTTTCCTTCTGTGGAGTCGGTAAATTTTTAGAAATAATTATTTTATTTTTGCACACATTTTATTTATACATTTCAGGTCCTTTTTTAGTGGAGCAGACAAATTATGTATTTCTTATGCTTTAATCAAGTTTTTAAAAATAAAATTTGAATCTTTTTGATTCATAGATTTAAAAACTTTATCCGAGCATATGGTGGATAAAATTCCACATCAACGCCATGGCTTAAAATCCATTTTGGAGCTTACTAGTGTACATTTTTACATTTAGCTTTGAAGTTCCAATGTATAAATGGTGAACAACAAAGCACACTTCCCCCCC